GGATCAGGGTGGGGGTCCCGCTTGGGTGCCTGGCCAGCCTGGATGAGGGGCTGATGGCTGTTTGCAGCTGGTCACACCCCCTTCAGGGTGGGGGTCCCACTGGGGTGCCTGGCCAGTCTGGATGAGGGGCTGAGGGTCGTTTTCAGGCTGGCGCGTGACTGAAGCTCCCAACCTCTCCTTTTTTTTTTTAATTTTTTTTATTCTGGGATTTATTTACCTTCTATGGCTGTCACTGGAGCTGAGAGCCGGCGTTAGCTCTGAGGCTCGGCTCCAGCTCTGCGGCCTCCGCTGCTGAAAGCAGGTATCTGGGCTTTGTTTAGCTTCTATAATTGAAACACTGTTGTAACTCCAGCTCTGAGGCCCGGCTGACTGAAAGCAGGTTTCTGGGGATTGTTTAGCTTCTATAATTGCAACATAGTTGCTTAGAGTGCAACTCAGAGCTGGGCGGCGGCAGGCGGGGAACCTTGGCTTCCTCCGTCACTGGAGCAAGCAAGCCTCCTGTTCGCTTCAGCTGCCTGGTTGCCAGCCGCCATCTTGGTTGGCAGTTAATTTGCATATTGCCCTGATTAGTCAATGGGAAGAGTGTCAGAGGTACGGTTAATTACCATGTTTGTCTATTATTAGATAGGATAATAAGTGAATATAGTATTATCTTCAAGGCTCTGCTTACAGAGCATTTTGCTACATATTATTGTATTTCCTTTTCTGTTGGAATATGGGTAGCATGAGGTAATACAACACTTGCTACTCATTACTCATACTACTACTAAAAAGCCAGCCTTGGGCTTTATATAAATAGTTTATGGCAATAGCTACTCACCAGGTAGAGGAAATGTACATTTTTAGGATGGACACATCCCAGCCTATTTTATCAGGTGCCAGTCCTCCAATGACCAGGCAGGTCTTAAAATGTGGCCAGAATTTTAATGCATGGAACAAACCAAAGTACCTCCTACAGGCAAAGCCATGGCTCTAGTTTGCAGGCTCAATTATAGAGCATTTTCTCTCAGGATCCAGTGACAACAATGAGTTTAATGGACTTGATTTCTGGTTTTAGATCTGTTACTCTAATCTGGAAATAAAAAATGTTATATCAAGGCCTGTCCTCATGTACAGAAATGTTCTCATCAGATTTGTAAATAACATTGTTTTACAAATTCCTGACATCAATGAATTGCAAAATATTCATACTTTATAGATGAGTTACAAAAGAAGTGAAATAGGCAGACTCAAACTATCTAGCCTCGTGGTCGGCAAACTGCGGCTCACGAGCCACATGTGGCTCTTTTGGCCCCTTGAGTGTGGCTCTTCCTAAGCCTTAGGAGTACCCTAATTAAGTTAATAACAATGTACCTACCTATTTAGTTTAAGTTTAAAAAATTTGGCTCTCAAAAGAAATTTCAATCGTTGTACTGTTGATATTTGGCTCTGTTGACTAATGAGTTTGCCGACCACTGATCTAGCCTGTAGATAGAAAACAAATATTATTTGAAAAATATCTCTAAAAAAGACATGTAGCATTTTGATAGAGAAGGTTTTTTTCCTTCCCAGAAAAATAATTAGAAAGAACTCAAAACAAGTCTTTAATAAAAACATAAATGTATTATACAGTACATACTCCTATATTATAAAGCACAGCATAAAGTCTAACCCCCCAAAGGGTAAATTTTCATGTTCATTAAAAAATAATCAGAGTCATATTCTGCATCGATTCATTCTGTTTTTTCTACCATATAAACACTTGAGAATGACATTTTACTAGTTCCTCCCCATTCTTTTTAAAAGCAGAGTAGTCAGTATATGAAAACTAGTTTCCTAGTTTTGTCAGATGAAATGTTATTACATAGATAATTCTTAAGCTGTTCAGTGATATTTATGTTCAGATTTGCTCATTCATTTATTTTAGTTGATTGGTCAAACACAGAATGTAAAACCTGGATCTTATTACTCAGCATATTATCAGGAAAATCTGAAATATTGTCAGACTGATCCAGTAATGAACAATAAGATTTCACTTTGATTTCACCGTCGGGAAACATAGGCTCAGAAAGTGCAGGCGCAGAAAAGGATTTTCTAAGATGTTTGCTCTCCTCTCTGTTTTGCCTTATGGATTCTTCTTCTTGGAAAATTTTCTTTACCTTCTCCAGAACAGCATTAACACAGACTGTCTAATAATGAAAAAATATTGAAAAGTAAAGTTTATTTTTAAGCTACTGAACTTGCAGATAAAAAGTGCAATAAAGTCCTATATAATAAAGAGCTAATATGCTAATTAGACCTGACAGCAGAACGACCTTCAGGAATGACCTTCCAGAATGACCAGTGGTGGGGCCGCGAGGCAGTGGGCCGCAAGGGCCGAGGCAGCCAGGGCTGCGAGGGCCAAGCCCCTTGCCCGAATTTCGTGCATTGAGCCTCTAGTGTTTAATATAAAGTTATTAATCTACATATTCTAATAAAGAAGCACTTTCTTTCTGGAACCCCGGGCACTTGGCAAACATCATGAGATTGATTCCTTGTTCTAAATATATAGCACCATAATCTAGAAAGAAAATTAAAACCTAGTATAACTCAATAAAGATATGCTTTACATCCTTTTTCTCAATTCATTAATGTTCTATATGTTTATCCTTTGATTTAATTAAATGAAACATTTCCTTCATTCTCCTGATTTAATTAAATGAAAATTTCTTCTGAGAGATGAAATGTCTCCAACATGTTAATACCTCACAGTAGGTTTTCTGTTTTTGCTTTTGTAGCCCCTGGACTTTGCTTATACCTGTGTGTACAACTGGAAGGGCACAACCATTTTGGTAAAAATTTAGTAAGCTAAATGATTTCTAAATAAACGTGATCCAATTCCCCTCAAAAAATACCATTTAGTACTTTAAGAAAGTGTCAAAACATATAGAGAAATACAATTCCAAAAACAGAATGCTTTGGGTTCATGATGACATTGTAAATCCATTGTACAAACCTGGGAATGCCAGCCTAACTCCAGACTTTTAATTAAGAGTGATATTTAAATATCTTTATCAATTAAGGCAACTGCAGGTATTTTTTTACTTGCATCTGAGTATGTCCAAACCTAGAGCTATAAAACTTGAGGTGCATCACTTCCAGCTGAAGACAGCTTCATGCATTTATCCCAAATATGATCATTTTCTGTGTATGCCATGCTATAACAAAAGTTTGGGAAGTCCTATCCTATTTGATATATTTCTTTTTCCCTCACCTACAAAATTTTATCTGTGCCCATTCTAACCACTTTTGTCCCAGTTTTAGAAAATGAAGGGAAGTTCTCAAGATGGTTACCTCCAACACCTTTACTACTAAATCTAATGGAAATAAAATCTTCACTTTTCTTGATGACTTCTGCTTGTTTTGACACTTATCAATCTCAACCTCCTGAGTCTATTTCCTTTGCACTGATTTTCTTCCTACTTTTCTGATTATTGCTTCCTTATTTCCATGGATTTCATCTTAATGTTGTTCACATTTCTGTCAACTTTTCACTTGGCATGGTTCCAGTCAGAGTGTTAATTTCCAACATATATGTTATATGCCTTCAAAACCACAATGCCAGACCTGACCACTCCTAGGTCTTGCTTGGATGTATATATGACCAATTATCAGATAACCAAAAATTGTTTCTATTACCTGCTTAGAATGTTTATAACATGACAAATCATGTGAGATTATTTCAAAAGCCTTTGGGAAATTACATTAATTTTGGTTTTAGGCTTCTTTTTTTCTTTCTTTCTTTTTGTTCAACATAGCCATTTCATCCAACCCATTTTTTGCAGTGTATTTGCATTCTAGCTGAATTGAATGCCAATTTTGTATGAAATTCACATTTAAGATATTGAGCACATCTCAAAAATTAGAAACACTTTCAAAATATTTATTTGATAAACTCTGTTCTTTAAAAAAAAACCTGTATATGTGTTTAAAATTAAGTTGTTGTTGTTTTTTTTACTTTTTAAAAAGGTATCTTGGGTATTCTTGACCCCTTGTAATTCCCTATAAATTTTACAATTAACTACTCAACTTACACACACCTGCTCATATTTAAATTGGGACTGCACTGAATCTAGATTATGGGGAATTTTAGTCTTTATTACTGTGTGTTTCAATATGATAAAAAATATTAACATAAATGTGCAAGACATCTAACAAAAAAGCTGTAAAAATGATTAAGATAAATTAAAGAAGACCTAAATAAACAGAGAGAGATGCCATGTTCAAAGGCTGAAAGGAGGACTTATTCTGCCAATTATTAAGACTTATTATAAAGCTTCTGTAAATCATAGTGTTGAATTGGTACAAGAATAGAGAAATAGATCAACTGTATAGGACAGAGAGTCTTCAAATATACCTACATATATAAGTTCACTTGATTAAGAACACAATAAGTGTTCTTGGGCAATAGGAAAAGGGTGTTTTTTTCACCAGGGAAGTGAGTCTGTTCAATTGGATACCCATGGAGAAAAAGTTTGACTCTTACTTCATACCAATTCCTAAAAGTGAAAGGTAAAATAATAAAGCTCCTAGAATACATCAGAAATAAGAGTTTCATGACTTTGGATGTGGTAAAAATTTCCTAATTAGGATATTTAAATCTCTGAACATAATGGAAAAGTTAATAAACTAAATTATATTAAAATTAAGAACTTCCATTTTAAAACACACTGATAAAACAGGAAAAGGCAAGTCATGGAATAAAATAAATTTGCCCATATGTAACCAAAAGAGGGTTTGTTCCTAATATATTTTTAAAGTACAATAAAAAATAAAAAGGATGGACAATTCCCAATAGAAAAATAAGAAGATACTTTAACAGAAATTAACAAAAAGGACATTCAAATGCCCAATTAATGTATAAAAATCCACTCAATCTCATTAATAATCAAGGAAATGTAAATTAAAACCACAATATGATTATATCACATATATACAGGAATGACTAAAATGGAAAAGACTGACAATACCAAGTGTTGGTGATGATGTTGAGCTACTGGACTCTATAATTTCCTGGAATGAATTGTTAAAACCATTTTTGGAAAACTGTTAGGCAACATCTGTACAAGTTGAACATGTGCATATTCTATGGTCCAGCAATTTCACCAAAAACATATGTACAAGAATATTCATAGCACCTTACAATAGCCAAAGCTGTAAATATTCTAAATGTTCAACAGTACAATGGATAAATAGTGATAGAGTCAATTAATGGAATACTACACAGCAATGACAATCAACAAACTACTGCTACAAGCATCAAATAAATGAATCTTGCATTGATAGTGCTGAGCAAAAAAAGGGCAAATACAAAAGAATATGTTGTATATAATTTTACTTATATACAATGCAAACAAAACTATCTATGGTGTTAGAAGTCAAAATAGTGGTTGCCTTTATAGACAAGGTTAGAGATTATGAGGGGGACAAGAAAGAGACTTCTAGAATGATGGTAATATTTTTTTTCTTGACATGTGTGGTACATAGGTTAATAGATTTTATGATGATTCAAGCTGCGTACTTTTCTCTTTGTATGTTATACTTTTTAAAAAAATTTAAAGGTAAGTATAAATGGCAATAGATTAAAATAAATAATCCCTTATAATTTATAAAAGCTTTTATATTTTTGTCAATTATTAAGACATTATAAAGGTTCTGTAAATCATAGTGTTGAATTGGTACAAGAATAGAGAAATAGATCAACTGTATAGGACAGAGAGTCTTCAAATATACCTACATATATAAGTTCACTTGATTAAGAACACAATAAGTGTTCTTGGGCAATAGGAAAAGGGTGTTTTTTTTCACCAGGAAAGTGAGTCTTTTGATGAACACTTTTAAATTACAGCACTTGTAACTCAAAATACACTTTTAATTTACAGCACTCATAATTCAAAACACACTAACATTTGTTTTCCCCCAAATCACAGACTTAAACAATGGAATACTGAATTTTAGCCAACTATGGCACAATGGCTGAAACAAAACAGCTATAGCTAAATGAAAGCAAAAACCACAGTATTTTGACCAAGTGGTAATACACCTTATAAAAACAAAATAATTTAAGTTATTTAAGCAAATTAGCTTTTAGTAGATTGAAGTAAATTTTTAATGTAAAATTATTTTGTGTAACAAGAGAATAGTACCTTGGTTTATGAGTAGAATGTACAGTATATCTTTAATCTTACATAAGATAAGGATATTTATTTCTAGATTCTGATAATTTTGCTTAACTTACCAAATAAATTAGTGCTGCGTATGAAGCATACATTATGCTAGTTAAAGCAGTCTTTGCTGGAAAGGAAATGATATCAAACAAAGAACCCTTTCTGATCTGCAAAAACAGAAGAGAGTTTTCTTGTTAAGACAGAAGTTTTCAATGCTGCAATGTTAAATTTTACAGTGTTATTGAAAAACGAGACTTTAAGTAATTTTTCCAAATAAAGTCATTTACTTTAGATCTATCTGGGTTTTCACATTCTAAAAATATATTAGTTTCTTTTTTTCCTTTTGTAAAAAAAAGTTTCTTTTACTTTCTTTTGCTCATCAAAACCTGACATGTCAATTTTAAGAACCTTGCGCTGGCCGGTGGTGTGGCTCAGTTGGTTAGAGCCTCGTTCCTTGTACCAGAAGGCAATCAATGTTTCTCTGTTTCTCTCTCCAATCCCCCCCCCCCCAACCCTCCGGCCTTCCCTCCCTTTCCCTCCTTAAGATCAAATAATAAAAAATAAAAACCTTAACTTTTTTTTTTTACATTTACCAAGTGTTCACTAGGGGGTGCTGCTGTGCATATTAGAACAACAGTCTCTTCAAATTTATGTAATCATCCTTTACTACATTATTCATTTCTTCAATTAAGCAAACAGTAATCAACACACTGAACATTTCCTGGAGATTAATGACCTGCTTGGAAATGTTAATCATAAGTCTGCTGAAGGCCATCCTTAATCCTAGATGATCATTAAGCTTCAGGAAAAGCTTTGTGCTCGAATCCAGCATGCTTTTTGAAACCAAGAGAAGGTTTACATCAATAATGGGTTTGTCTCTCAGATGTTTCCACCTTCTGGTAATAGAAGGTGTCCCTGCCTAGAACAATAATACTACATATTCGATTCAAGGGAGCTATACTTTCATAGGCCACCTCTATTGCCTTGAGTAGGATATAAAATGAGGACATTAGGAAAACCATTTCCTTGCCAGTCAGCAGTGCTGTGGCCGTTAGCCATGCTCCTCTGCAGTAACAGCCGAGATACTTGATGGCTTCAATAACCCCCAAAAGGTACAGGCTGTAGCGGATAAAATAATGCACACAAACTACAAAGAACAGATATTTACAACATTGAAAAACTGAAACAATGATAGAACGATTAGGTAAATTACACTATATCTACTCAATGGTATATTGCAGCCCTTTCAAGTGTGTTTCCAAAGAACCTGTGATAACATTTTAATGAACAAACATTTACGTGGCACTGTGTACCAAGTTCTGTTCTAAATACTTGTTATTGTAGTAAACTCTGTTTTTGCTTGCTGCTGTCACTGCTGAATGGTGAACAAAATTGCTATCACAAGTTCCCTTCTTATTTCTTCAGAGATTTATGGAATGCTGAAGCAAAAATATTCTCTAGCCTAGTAGCTAAGAGATGGCTGGTGGGGGGAGGCCCTTCTTATTCCCTACCTTTCAGGCTATACCAACTCTTAGATATAGGGATAGGTAGGTGCAGTTTTAGCCCCCTCCTTCTATAAGTCATTCTGGAAATTTTCCCAGTGTTCCTGGCTTCTGAAAAGATTTTCCAGGAAATAAAGCACCTGTTGCTGTTTTCCTCTCGTAGAAGAATCAAAATGATAGCATGCCTTTGAATCCCACTGTTAGGCTATAAGGAGATGTTATACTAGTAGAGAGCAGATACACTCCAGCAAAATGCCTGCTAGCAGAGTAAAAGATTATGAGTTTGTGAATATATAAATGCAAGTGAGAGGTCCATATTTAATAACTGGTAAGCCATATGCAGTAAAAACAGAAGAGTCTGAATGCATAAGTCACTCTTTCAATGCATCTTTCTCTTTCAGATTTTGTCCTTCACCTAAAGGTAATTAAAACTGATTAGTTTCAAAATAAATTATGTATTTGATACATGTTATGCTTCTGAGTGATAAATCGGTACATTGCCTAAGGGTCAGTTTTTCACCATTTTAATGTTTTTAATAACTACTTGCTATTCCTTTGACAAATTATCCTTTTAGAAAATACATTTCCTCCAAAATTCATGGCTATGGGCAAGTGGCCATTCTTCAAACTTATGACTCACTTGTAATACATGTTTTTCATATTATAAGCTACCCTGTTTCATCTTTGGCATGCTATGAGCAGGAAGAGTGTATGGTAAAAATGAGATAAAGAAAAATTTGGTAAATTGAAGGCTTTATTTAAATAATCTTGGCCTATTTCAGAAATTTTATCTTAACCTTGTTGTTATATTAATTTTATGTTTTTTGCATATTTAAATTAAGTATTTCATATCAATATTATTCCCATATATTTCTTTTTTAACTTGGTAATATTACTACATAAGATATATGGATATTTCAACAGTAAAAACATTTCAATATTTAAATTTCCCCCACATAATTTTGACTGCTTCATTTCATAAAAGAACTGTGTTTATCTTATTTTCACTAATAATGGGATAAATCACCAAAAAGGAAACTATAAGCAGTTTAGAAAATAAAGGTCCATTTACAGGTGACCTGAAGGTTGAAGTATTACCAGGTCCCACTTAGTTTATGTTGTCCAAAACCATCTTGGTGAGGGATATCAGGGGAGTAATAGGGAAAACTAACTCAGTGACTCACGAGTAGGTGTTGTAAGAAATACTGACTACTTTAATGGACAGGTCCAGGAAAAAAAGTGTTTCCTATTTTGGGAAAGCTACATGACCATTTCTTTGCTTAGCAACTCACAATACTAATGAGCACAGGAAATGCTTCTAGCAGTCCACATAGAGTAAAGAAAGTTATTTGACTTTGTTTATCCCGGTATTAACATCCTGTGGAGCACTGGTTTCAAATAAGCTCTTAATTGGTTGGTCCTGTAAAAGCTCAAACATCCCAACCTCTTGGCCAAACTGGAGAATTATGTTTTCAAGATTTCGGTAGTTCTGCTTTCTAGGAATGGTCCCTTTCCCCAGGTCTTGAATTACACCACCCAAGAGAGCCTCATGGCAGGCTCATCCAAGGACCTACAGAAGTGCCTGATATTTGTGAGGTTTGTAGTTTAAACCCAAAACGGTAGTCTACACCGGAGGGTTAGGGGTAAGGAGTAAACTTTACTTAGAAAAACCTGACCCTCATCTTGGAAAAACACTGTAAGTCACTGGGGTCCACCTGTGGCACAGACCTTTTAGAGGCTGTTTTCTTTCCTTTGCCTGCACAAAGTAGAAACAGTTATCTCTAATGCCGGAAGTGCTCCCGGTCCTGTGGCCCTGCTTGGCCTGCCAAAGTCAACAACTATGTCTGGGAGCTGACGTGTCTTGGCCCAAGTCAGCATTCAAGCTAATTATCTAGGTCACTGCAGCTTAGAGCAGCTTACAAGGCTTAGCAGATGCACCAATCTGTGAGCACTGGTGCTGGGAATGTCGAAAACCATCAGGATATTCTCCACTCGGTTTTCCATTCCTGAGGCCCCTTCTAGAACTCGCAGATACTAGTATATCAGTACAACCTCAGCCCTGAAGAACCTAGAAGGTTTTGAGGAGCAACCTGACTTCAGCACCCACAAAGGTGCAAAGCAAATGCCAGGTGCCAAGGAAGTCTGTTTTAACAAGATGTCCAGCTGGAACCTCCTAACCCAAACTCTCTGTGCTCACTCATGTCACAACAAGCCACCAGACCCTTCAGGTCACCTGTATCAGTTGGGCCTTTGGGTAATTCATATTTGGCACAATACTAGTATCTTTGAATTGAAGATATATAGTCAGTGTCCTAATGAAAATACTCCTTTATGTTCTTGAGGGAGGCAATCTGCCTGACTGGTGTTCCCACCTACATAATATCCAACAGAGCTTTGGTAGAATCATTCAAGGTGCTCTGGGTACACCATCCTCTCATCAGAGATGAGACAGAGCACATGAAGAGGGCCTTTGAACATACCTAAAGATAGCTTAATGAGGCTGCTTGCTTTCCTACATGAAGCGATGTCCTCCATGCATCCGCAAAGCATATCTCCTTGCAAAGTAATTCCAGATTTCACTCCTTTTACTTCTGCACACCACAAAGTTCCACCTTGACACAGGCAGCCTGGCAAATCTTGAAAGAATTCATGTTGGAATTCATTCTGCATAAGCTGAACTCCGTCACGTTGGGAAGGCAGCCAAGCAGTGTACCAGGGCTGGTATAGCTCCTCTGTGCTATGCCACTTACATCTTGACACACTTTGGTGCCATTGACCGATCCATTGACCTCCACATCGCATATGTTATTCTTTTGTTCCTTTGACTCTCCAGGCCATTGTCTTCACTGTTCATACTTCTCTTTTAGTCATCACTGAGACTTTCAGATTTGAGATACAGTATGTTGTTTTCTTCCTTGAAACAAGTTAGTTTCCTTTTGGTGGCAATTCTGATTCTACATCCTAGTTAATGCACATTCCCCAAGTAAAGCTTCTTCCTCATTCCTACCCTCACGGGCCCAGGGACCTCTGACTTGGGATTTTCCCACTTGTCTCACTCCAGCCATTTAAAACTACTTACAATTCCTAAGTAAGGCATGCTCTTGATTTCTTCAGCATCTTCAGATACACTGTTCTCTTCCTGGAATGATTCTCCCTTTGCAAGGCTAATTTCTCCTACTTCAAGTCTCAGGTCAAGTATCACCTTCTGGAAAGCCTACACTGACTACTCTTTGGAATGACATGCCCCTTGTTGATGCTTCCATAGTGCACTTTGCACACTTTGATGATGTAATTGCTACAATCTACTAGCACTGCTCGCTTGCTTACAACACCCATAGTTCATAGGCCCAGGACAAGACATCTATAAATGCCTACTACCGAAGCTAATGATTTTACATGTCAGGTTTTCAAAAGTATTTGTTGAATGAATGAAAAAGTGGAATTATACTTTACTTACTTCCAAAACCAAATTCAACCATCTTATACTGAAATTTATAAAAGATATTAAGAAGTAAAGCTGGGCCCTGGCCAGGTAGCTCAATTGGTTAGAGTGTCATCCTGATATGCCAAGGTTGCAGGTTTGATCTTCGGTCTGGGCACATCCAAGAATCAACCAATGAACAAATAAGTGGAACAACATATCTCAATACCCTGCTCCCCCCCACACACACTTCTCTTCCCCTTCTTCTCTCTCTCTCAAATCAATCAATAATTTAAAAAAAATAATAATAAAAAGGGCCCTGGCTGGTGTTTCTAAGTGGTTATAGCATCAGTCCTCAGACATAGGGTCCTGGGTTTAATTCCTGGTCAAGGGCTTGTGCCTGGGCTGCAGTTTCCATCAGCCCAGCCGCTCATGTGGGAGGCAACCAATTGATGTGTCCCTCTCGCACCAATGTTTCTCTCTCTCTCTCTCTCTCTCTCTCTCTCCTTCACACCCTTCCTCCCTCCCTCCCTTTCACTCTCTAAAATAATCAACAGAAAAAATAAAAAAATATCCTTGGGTGAGGATTAACAAGCAAACAAACAAAGCAAAGCTGAAGGATATCTGGTTCCAGCAACATGGCAGAGTTAATGGAGAAACACACACACACACACACACACACACACACACACACACACACACAAAACCTACAAATTCTATGCAAATTTCTACATCAAAAATGCAATATAAAACTGAGAAGAAAAGAAGGAAGGAAGGAAGGAAAGAAGGAAGGAAGGAAGGAAGGAAGGAAGGAAGGAAGGAAGGA